TGTACGTGGGCTTCTCACTGTTGTGGCTTCTCCCGTTGCGGAGCACAGGCTCCGGACGCGCAGGCTCAGCGGCCATAGCTCACGGGCCTAGCCGCTCCGCGGCATGTGGGATCTTCCCAGACCAGGGCACGAACCCGTGTCCCCTGCATCGGCAGGCGGACTCTCAACCACTGCGCCACCAAGGAAGACCTGAAACAAGTGTTTTTAACAGCAGTTTTATAAACAGCTGAAAAGCTATGGCAGTATTTTTGTTTGTATGGGGCGCGCCATGCCGCATGCGGGATCTTAGTTCCCCTACCAGGGATCAAACCTGGTCCCACGGCAGTGAAAGTGCGGGATACTAACCACTGGATTGCCAGGGAGTTCGCCCGTGGCAGTTTTAAGTACCCACCTGTACCAGTTATATTCATTACATAGTTTCTCAGTTCTGGATAGATCATTTTAAGTGGATTCAGTTATAATTCAGTAAATATTGATAGAAATTCCTTTTCTACCTAAAGAGAAGGTTATAGGAATTTTTTTAAGTTATATTTTTATATTTGATGGACATGTACAAAAGAATTGAATCTTCATATATTTGGTTTCTGTTAATCTGTGTGTCTAACACTTTTGCCTTCTGCTTACTCTTCGTGGACTTGATCAGGAGAGCATGCATGTCTTTAAGAGTAACAGGACTGGGCTTCCCTGGTGGTGCAGTGGTTGAGAGTCCGCCTGCCAATGCAGGGGACACAGGTTCGTGCCCCGGTCCGGGAGGCTCCCACATGCCACGGAGCGGCTGGGCCCGTGAGCCATGGCCGCTGAGTCTGCGCGTCCAGAGCCTGTGCTCCGCAACGGGAGAGGCCACATCAGTGTGAGAGGCCCGGACAAAAAAAAAAAAAAAAAAAAAAAAGAGTAACAGGACTGATATTCGTCAGTTACCTGGCAGAGAGTCAAGTACTGAATTTTCTGTTTCACAGCTGGGAAATCCTGGCAAATAAAGGGTTTAATCAGAAATAGAAACCTGACATATATACATATATACACTATTGATACTATGTATAAAATAGATAACTAATGAGAACCTACTGTATAGCACAGGGAACTCTACTCATTGCTCTGTGGTGACCTAAATGGGAAGGAAATCCAAGAAAGAGGGGATATGTATATGTATATACGTATATGTGTATGTATATACGTATACGTATATGTATATACGTATACGTATAGCTGATTCTCTTTGCTGTACAGTAGAAACTAATGCAACATTGTAAAGCAACTATACTCCAAAAAAATTTTTTTAAATAAATAAATAATGGGGAAAAAAAGAAATAGAAACCTGATATACTTGACAATAATATTTATTTGTATCACAAGTTCCTTAGTTCTTAAAAAAAAAAAAAAAAAAACCTTGAACTTGAGGGCCAATGGCAAAGTATTTTCTTACTTTTATGTTGTTCTTAACCCAGTTAGTGTTTTTCAAGTCATAATCCCTGTGTCCTGAACGTATTCTAATTATTATTTTCGATACAGTACTGAATGGACTTAAAGGGAAACAAATAGAACTGTGTGTCATAGTTATTAGTAAGAACTAAAACTAAAGACTTCATTTACTTAACTGTTAAATAAAAGTATGTTTTCTTAATTGAAAATCTCTTCTCAAAGAATAGAAACAGGACAGAAAGGAAAGATAGATGTGCTGAACATAGCAAGTGGATAACCAAGGAAAATTAAGTTTATACGTAATTATTTAGGATCTAATATATGCAAAGCACTATGTTAAGTGTTTAAAAGTTGCAGAGTTTTAGAAGACAATAATCCTTACCTTCAAGGAGCTTATACATGGATTATACATGACATATTATATTCTTTATATAAATAGGTGGTAAAGTTTTCAGTCATTTGAAACTGCAGTATTTAACTATTCTTTTGAGATACTATTCTTAAATCCTAACCTTAAGCAAATATATTTCACATCTAAAAGTAGCATTGCTTGTTCAGACTTGAAGGGCTGGATTAATTTGCTTTTTTTTTTTTTAGCATCTTTAAGGATTAATTTACTTTTAATCTTGGTTTAGACTAATGTATGGTTGCAAGTTAACATGTTTTTTCTTTTCTCATTTGTATTGTATACTGAATAGATAGATACTAGCAACTCTTCCTGAAGCTTTTGACCAGCTTCAAATATCTTAATATTACCAGTTTGTAAAATCAGCAACATTTTGGGCAGTTTTCCAAGAGAAATTCCTGGTTTTTAATTTTTCCAGTGTCTTTTCCCATTCTTTTTTAAATTGCCATAAAATGTTTGCAAGCATAAGAGTTTTAAGAAAGGTAAAACTATGTTTTTAACAACTAGCTAAGGTACTCACAGGGATTTATTTTTTTAGTTAGGGTCACTTCTAAGGGTGGGAAATGGATTCAGACTTCAGGAGTTTAAAAGATTTTAGTTTGACTGCTAAAGGAAATAATATTGAAATTTCAGTTATAACTATTTAGCTTGGATGTCGGAAGTTTAAATGGATCTTTAGTCTGTTTTCTTTATCTTCACATCTCCTTTGTTCCTCATTCCCCACCCCCTTCACCCGCTCACCTCCCATCTTCACCCTCATTATTATCCCCACAGTTTTTCAGTTTATTCATTAGTTACATTATAGGATGTGTAGTCCTGGACAGGTAATGTCATCTTTCATGGATTGGAAGACTTGTCTTCAGAGTAGCTCCAGTGTTTTTATGTGAACTTTTACCTGATTCCTTGCTATGACCTAGAAGGTTTAAAATAGGATCTCTCTCCCCCTCCATATAGCCCCAGATCTAGCTTTTAAAACAAACAAAAATTGCGTAGTCAGCATTGCTTCAACAAAGCACGTATTAAAACTTTTATAACAAAGACCTGCCTGGTAGGTGAGGAAGTGCTAAATAATATATTCATTTCGACTTTTAGATAATCTTTCCTACCACATTAGATGTTCTTCATTAAGCTACAAAAACTTGGTCTAAGCTAGTGTTTAAAAATTCATGGCTTCCCAAGAATACATCATCTTAGCCCACTTTGAGAAACACTGCATTAAAAGTTAAAAGATTATTTTAGAAAGGTAGCAGGTACAAGCACAAAAATCATGTTTATATTCTGTTGTGGGGTGGTCATCCAGAAAATACAGAACGTGTTTTGATTAGATTTTTCTTTTTATTAGTTTATCAATGGAACATCAATACAAAGTTGACAAATACTTGTAAAGATTTCACACATACTCAAGAATATATTCTCCGTGGGCCCAAGTTTAAGGAACAGTGATCTAGGGCTTTAGAATCAATACACCAGTGTAAAATCTAGTGGAGATACCTAGAGTATGTTTTTGATGGATCACTGTCAGATTATGAGAGGGAAAGGTGATGAGGGACCAACCTAGCAGAACCACCTTATAGGAACCACATGCCTGAAAGGTGAAGAAAGAAATGAGGGATGCCTAGGATCTTTGAAAACAGAATCAACATTCTAAGGATGGTGACAAGTGTTCTAAGAAAAAGTACATGGATTCATCTGAGGAGTAAATCAGACCAATAAACCCAAGATAGGTAAAGAGCCAGGTACAAAGATAGCCAGAAAGGTTAGAGGCTTTAGTGAAAAACAGACTGTCAGTTATATACACAAGTTATTTAGAAATGCAAGTGTGTTATCAATGTACAGAATGACATATTTGCATACGTAAAAGGGGAAATTCTGTAATATGTGACCTATTAGAATGTGTTACCCAAGGAGATTTGCAAAACTCCTTACTTAGGGAAAGGAACACTTCCTGTCTGTCTGGAATAGTGAAATATTGCCTTCACAAAACAATCAGAGTGTGGTTACTTTTAAACTGATAGGACTTGGAGGTGTGGGGTAGGGGAGATGGATGACCAGCATGGATTTTACTTTTAAGCTAGCAACTCATGAGAGCAACTAGTAGAAAGAACTTGGCTTGGCCTTAAGCAAGAGAAGCAGATATTGTTTCTCTTTTCATACATTCCCACTTCCCCTTTATGCCACTACCACCCATCCATAGCTGGACCCCTATTCTGTATCTCATTCCTAAAGAGATTTCTTCACACTGTTAAGTATGACCTTTTCCTGGTGTTATTTTAATGCTTGCCTCTTGATAACTCAAAGCCAATGTAAGAAATAAATTTCTTATGGAAGTATTTCAGTAATTTATGAAAGGAAAAATAATTAGTGGAGAAGGTGCTTTCAATCAAATTACCATCCTCCACCTACTAGTAAGTCAACCCTGACGATGATAATTCAATACTGTGTCTGTGTCATTAAAACCATACATTTCTTACCACTTTCGACTCACTCTAACAAAATGAAAGAGGTCATTTAGGGAGGATGTTTTGTATGTGTTCAAATTCTGTGTCATGATTAATAATTGCTATTTTTGTCTAAAAGTGTTTAATGCTCTAGAAAATTCTGAATGGGGAACATAAGCATTTTTCAAGCACAAAACACCTTTTAGTAAAAAAAGAACTAGAGGTCAAGAATGAATCCAGCATGCTGAGCTTGCAGTGAGGGGGAAGAGGAAAAAAATGAATGTAATATTTTAAGCATATCCATATTTTGGAATTAAGTTTTATATCAGTGGTTTTCAACTAATAACAGAATCAGGGATGAGAATTTTGGTATCAAAGTCAGCCTGAGTTTTTAAAAGTTAGGCAACACTTGAACATTAATTTGAGTAATTTCAATTGCGTCTTGGTTGGGATTTTATGAGTTTTCTATGGGGAAAAGGATGGGGTTCCTGAGCAAATTAATGGTTTCAACAAGTCAGGGCAGTAAGTAGACATATCCCCCCAGAAAACAGGAAATTTTATTAGCATCCCTTTTTAATAGCTACATAAAGTGATCATCTTTTTATAAAAGCAAGTAGAATACCTCTAGTTGGCAACACTTTGTTAGCTAATGACTACTAACCAAAAGTAATTTTTTTATTAAAAGAATACAATTTGTCCTTTCTAGTAATTTATATGTATACTTTATTCTGATTAGTAAGATTTTATAATTGTCTGACTTAAAAGCTTTTGGAAAAAGAAAAGATTCTCATTTCTCTCTCAATTTTTAAATAGCTACTAAAAGTGTATTCTCTTTATTTGGTTTATTCCTCACTTAAAATTAACCACTGTGACTTCTCACCTCTTCATCACAACATAAATCTTAGCTCTGGACAAACATAACGCTGAATTTGAGGGAGTAGACCATACGCCAGATTCCAAGTCCATTTCTTTTGAATTGGTATGCTGTTTATACACATAGGACTTAAACAGATTTATTTGGGTTTAACTTAAGATTTTCCTTCCTGGCTTTGTATCTAATAAACTATTTTTCATCTCTTTCCCAAGGTTTTCAAACAGCTGGAAATTCATGAATACTTCACATTTTCATTTCATTTTGAAGATTTTAAATTTAGAATTAAATTTTTTTTCATCTAAAAATAGAACACTTGCAGTGAACTTAACATGTGCAAAGAAAGACATTTGATTTTGTTGGTAATTCAGTAAGATAACTAATGTGTACTTCAAAAATACAGGTAATAGTAAAATTTTAGAGTGAGCACTATCATAGGCCCAGGTTTTTTAATCTTCTAAAAATAAAATTGCTATCTCAGAACTGCTTTTTCCTGATAGTCCAGTACTAATTTTAATGATAACATTGTAGAACAGAAATGAAGGTATATCTAAAGCTTTGTCCGTCTCTGGGGCCTAATTCCTTTTTCATAGAAAATAACCTGTACTTTGCATAACTTGTTATATGTCTAATTTACCATCAAAATTTTTTTTTAAATTTCTCATTTATGATCCTACTAAATGGAAAACTTGGGGACAGGGGCTAGTTAAGTAACATAGGTTGAAGGTATAGTCTCCTATCTAAACTCCTTCAGGTCATATTGATTAGATAGCTAGATTACATTTAAAGGTTGACTCATATTAGTTGTTTTTTTTGTTTGTTTGTTTTTTGCGGCGTACGGGGGCCTCTCACTGCCGTGGCCCCTCCCACTACGGAGCACAGGCTCCGGACGCGCAGGCCCAGCGGCCATGGCTCACGGGCCCAGCCGCTCTGCTGCACGTGGGATCCTCCCGGACCGGGGCACGAACCCTTGTCCCCTGCACCGGCAGGTGGACTCTCAACCACTGCGCCACCAGGGAAGCTCCCAGTTGGTATTTCTTTATATGTATCTTTTCTTCCCAACTACACTGTAGGAGTTTATAGCAGGGACCCTCTTTTTAATTTATTTTTTCCCTGTATTCATTCTTAACTCTTAATGCAGCACTTTTCATCATAGATAGTAAATACTTGTTGATTAAGTGAAATAGTTGGGAGAGAGGAAGGAAAGCAATAAAGAAAAATAGAGTAAAATTACTCTAGTAGTACATGTATTCTGATGTGATTTAATGTTTTGTGACTCTAGTAATATACTGACTTCTGTGGAGATAGCTTTGTGTCCTCTAAGTCAGTTTATCAGTGATCTCCTTAAATATCAGTGGTGAATGAAAGTTTGTTTACATTTCTTTGAAAAAAGTGTTTCTTATTGTAACTTTTTCTTAAGTAATTTTTTAAATAAGACATTTAGTAACTTTTAACAGTTGGTAACAGCATAGTTGATTACATCTGAGGATGCTGAATACTTCTCTGATTTCCAGCCCTGTTTTTATAGATAGGACTTATTTTAAACATCAAATCTGTTGGCTTTAACTATGGTTTAAGTCTGAATAAAAGGGAGAATCCTTATATTTGAACTACGTTATACAGTAAAATCTACATATAGGAACTTTTTCAGCATGTGATATTAGAAAGTCATAGATATTAGCATAAGCCACTTTGGCTGAAAGATCTGTCGTTTTTATTCAGTTCTTTGCTGCAGATGTATATTGTGATTTGAAATTGCTTTTCATCTTAATCGTGGAATAACTTCATATTGTATTCTCCTTGTGTTGTTAAAGGTACTTTAAAACATATGTATTTCTAAAATTAATGTCCTTTTCCAGTGACAGGGGGTATCACAGAAGAGCAATTTCAGACTCATCAACAGCAGTTAGTTCAAATGCAAAGGCAGCAACTTGCTCAGCTTCAGCAGAAACAGCAATCTCAGCATTCCTCGCAACAGACACATCCAAAAGCACAGGTAAACCTGTCTTTTAATCATGGTTATGTCTGTTCCTTTCTTTCATAATTATGTCTTTTTTTGAAAATTTTAGTCAGGTCACAGAATATAACCTTGTCATTGCCACTCGATTCTGGAGATCAAACCTAAGTGTCTTTTCAGTTAATTTACATAATTTTAAGTGACTAGTTTATATTTTATGAGAGGAGCACTAGAGCCAAATATAGTATTTTTAATTTAGGAAAGAAATAAGTACATATATTTGGAAAGGTTATTAAGAATTCATTGAAGTAATTATATACTCTTAGAACCATCATCCCCCACCCCTACTCCCCCAGAAATATTTTTGTCAAGGATATGACTATCCTAACTCCTTCCTAACCTGTGCATTTAAGTGCCATGTGAACGTGCCCCATGAGCTGAGAGGTAATTTTCTCGACTTGTGCCATAAATCCAGACAACATAGCCCTTTGCCTATTTGAATCACATTTCCCTGAAGAAAAAAAAATTGCCACTAGGTGAGGTTTTCCTAGGCACCATTAAATGATTGACAGTCGGGATAAGAGTAAAAGCCCTGCCAACACCTTGATATGAGCCTATAAGACTGATTTTGGACTTCTGGCCTCCAGAACCGTATGAGAATAAACTTACGTTGTTTAAGCCACTAAAAAGCTGTTAGTAACAGCTAAGCAGTTTAATACAGAATCAAAAGGAATATGACCATTAAATTTGCCTTTGTTTGCCTTTTCTGAATCTCAGGTATTTCCAACCTACTGAAACATTAGGCTAAGACACAGTTTTACATTGGGACAAAAATGACTGTTAGTCATCTCTGTTATTTCATTTTGCCCATAGTATGTAGACTGTCAAGTATTTTTAAAAGCATTCATTAACACTTATTGGAAAAATGAATAGGGCATTAAAGGTTTGGGTTGTTTACTACCCTAGCTCTTTCTCATAAATAATTGCTTCCCAGTTTTTAGTTGCTTTCCTGTTTCATATGATGAAAATAGCCTATGGAGTTCTAGATCTCTTAACCTAAACACCTGTAACTGTTCAAGATGAAAAAGGCAGCAGCATCTTGAGTTTGCTCATTTCTTAACATGTTCATGAACTCACGTCTAAAAAGTTGAGAGTTTAATTTTGTTTATTTTATAGGGCTCAAGCACCTCTGACTGTATGTCTAAAACACTTGACTCAGCCAGCGCCCATTTTGCTGCATCTGCAGTGGTCAGTGCACCTGTTCCAAGTCGCAGTGAGGTAACCAAGGAACAGAACACTGGCCACAACAACATTAACGGTGTAGTCCAGCCTTCAGGTAAGCCTGTTGTTTTATGTGATACTTACTAGCTCAAAGTTGCAACTCAGTGATTTGAGGTATGGTTTTTGGTTTTCAAATCCAAGGGAAAACATCGTACAAGAAATCAGTCTGGACTCTTCATAATATCTATGGATATGTAGGATGGAATAGCTGGATGTTTTCTAGAATTCACATAGAGACTGCTCCCTGTTTCCTCCCACACCCACTGGATTCCTACCTATGTAACACTTCACCTTGCCTTGTTTTATCCACATACTGTCAGTTGCCTCACATCTTAGGAAACACATCGAGCTAATTGCTAACCATCATCATTGAATCATTTGTACATTTATAAAAAGGCGAAATACAATTTATCAGTAAATTGGAAATTGGGTTTACCTTCCCAGTCTTACATACTCACAGGCCTGCTTTCTCGGACTCCTCCTCATGAAATACAGTATTGCTGTGAACGTATTTCTGCTGCTTACTGCCAAGTCCTCAAAAGATTCGCTGTTCCTATCAACCCTCAACTACTGCTCAGACCTTAGGGTTTTCCTCTTGCTTTTACATATACCCATGATAGTGATTGCTCTTCCTTACTGATGTTCTTGCATGTGTAAATTCTAATGGAAGTCCAACCTTCATCTGCACCTGCCCTCAATCTCCAGAGAGGACCTCTCTGTCCTATTATATAGTTTCCAAATATGGAGGCAGCAGAATACTTTGCAAACCCTTTTGTGTAGGCTTATAGAAAGAGGGTGTCTCTGGGGTTGAAAGAGGTGAATATGTTACCAATCAGAAGGTCTCTTTGGAGAGGCCGTTATGTGGAAGGTTAATTTGGTATTTAACTAGATTACAAATGTTTGCATTTCTTTTTATTTTTAAGCTCCTAATTTTTTAAAAAGTTTAATATCTCATGACTTGAATGGAACCATTTTTTTTTTCCTTCTCCTTCAGGAACCTCTAAAACATTATATTCCACCAACATGGCTTTATCATCCAGCCCAGGGATTTCAGCTGTACAACTTGTAAGGACAGTTGGCCACACCACTACAAACCACTTAATCCCAGCATTGTGCACAAGCAGTCCTCAAACACTTCCCATGAACAATTCCTGCCTGACAAATGCAGTGCACCTCAATAACGTCAGTGTTGTTTCTCCAGTCAATGTGCATATCAATACACGGACTTCAGCACCATCGCCAACAGCCTTAAAACTTGCCACAGTTGCTGCCAGTATGGACAGAGTGCCAAAGGTTACTCCTAGCAGTGCCATCAGCAGCATAGCAAGGTGTGTGTGTGTGTGTGTGTGTGTGTGTGTGTGTGTGTGTTTCAAGTATCATTCTGTCCCTTTCTGCTGGCTATCCTGTGGGAGGAAAAAGACTTTTTTTTTCTTTTTTTTTTTTTTAACCGCTCAAGCGATAGATGTCTTGTCAATTGATTTACTTGCTTTTCAACAGATACTGAATATCTGCTTAGTCTAAAGCTCTGTGACTTAGATCATTTGTTTGAGGTCACTGGTAGGATGTTTAAATGCCAATCAGAACTGTAAAAAAAAAAAAAAAGGAAAAAAACCCCACATCAACTTGGGAACCATCAAACTGAAAAAATACATCAGTCTATTTTAGAAGCTTCATTTATTCTTCTATTACTTCTTTGTAGTGTAGACAGTCCAGAAGGCTAGAGTTGTTATCAGCTTCCAGAGCTTTAGTTTTCAAATCAAAATTTGTATTTTCTTCAATATTATACACAAAGGGAAAGTAAATTATTCTATGTATATTCTGAAATTGAGAATATTCTGGAATTAACTAAATCCATGATAATGTATTTCAGATTTTTTATTTCTATGACACTAATGCATGAGAATCAAAAAAATTGATTTGCATGGATAACTACATGACTTTAAACCTGTAAAATTAAACTATAGTAGAAAACAATTTAAGTAATATTGTGCTCCAAATGATTATTCTTTTTGAGCATCATATGCTCCATCTATTGTAAAAACACTTGGATTGTCATATGTTATATATTTCATAAGTAATTTATCATTGGCTTCTACTGAAATATTGTGTTAAATTACTGTCTTTCCTAAGTAAATAGTTATAATCAAGTTCTTAGGAATTACTAGGATTTTTTAGCTGAAGAAAACCTTTCCTCATTCCTGTATAGAAATTGTAAAAATGGGAGATGTTCTTCTGCAGTATATGTTTTGTTGTAATTACATAAAAATGTATCTATAAATACTAAGTTATACACATCATATTCTAGAGAGTATTAATGTTTATTTTACTCTTTGCCCTATTATAGAGAGAACCATGAACCAGAAAGATTGGGTTTAAATGGAATAGCAGAGACAACAGTAGCTATGGAAGTGACATAACCTAAAACATGTGGCTTTGACCTGTGCTGATGGTGTGCAGTCATTCATATTCCAGCTGAATGCAAAAGGTGACACTCTGTGGATCACAGAGCGTAACAATGGACCTAAATGGACTAGAGTATATCGGATGTTAAATCGATATATGATGTATATTTTGTAAAATTGGGAAAATCACTACCTTGTAATATAGTTTATTTGTATCATCAATATTATTTCTGTTACTTGAATAGTAGATATTCATCATCATGCTTTTGCACTTGAATTTGCAACTGAATGGATTTTAAAAAATAATTCTTTAATGGGATCATGAGCATGAAATGGGATCCTGCATCACTTGTTTTAACTATTTATTTTGCCATGTTTACATTTTGTATCTTGTAAAAATAAATCCAACTTTGTTTAAAAAGTTAAAGATTCATAGCTAGGAAATGAAATTCTTGTAATTTTTTTCTAAAGGAACTGTAAAGTTTTCACTTGGTTCATTTTGTTTCACAATTTGACTAGATGGACTTTTTGGTAAATACTTTAGTGGCATTTCACTGTCAAATATGAAGTTCAAGGCAAAATAGTATTTTCTATTACTGTGCAGGGGAAAGGGATGGATCGATACATGCAAATTTAATGTAGTAACTCACTTTTCCATATATTTTGAATGTATATTTCTATTTATAATACCAGTTTATAAAAAATGATTACACAGAAAAAAGGACTAGGAAAAATTATGCATCTAGCACATTTAAACTGTGCAGGTATGAACATTTTTCAAGGATTACATTTTATCTGAAGACTGCATATTTTAACTGGCTTTACCTGTACCACACCACATAAAGGATATTTTGCCAGGTATGTACTGCATTGTGTGATTGCAGTAACCATTGGAGGTCTAGATATCGAGCCATCCCGGGTGCTGGGAGGGGGGGGTTGTGGCAAGATTTTGTCTTTTCAGTTTTTGAGAGGTTTCCTGTGGCTACAAGGCAAGTAACGGGTTGGAAAACGTCTGACTGTAAGCGTTGGACACCTTCACAGTGTAGTGTTTTAGTGACTTTTTTTATACGGTTCTTGTATATTAGATACGTGTAGTGGTGTTTCAGAATGTTTGTTTATGCACTAGTTCAGACAACTTTCCCTGTTACTTGTTCTTGATAAGTGAAAACTGCAGGGAAATAAAAATACATATCAAAACATGGACATGCTGCATATGTGTTTATTTCACAATGTGCACACAGTATAAGTTAAAATTTAAGGGAGATGATAGCACTTAACAGCACTTTTCATTTTCACAGTGCTTTCCAAGCATTAATGAAAAGAATTATAAGAAGCTCATCTGTGGGCACTATTGGGTTTCAGATAATCCAATATAAACTACCTTTGATATGAAAAGTTCTTAAAATATTTTACAGAATGTAAGTAATTTGCAGTATAACATTCATTGAAATCTCATAAATGAGCCTCATTTTATAAATAAAAGTTTAGAGTAGAATTATATTGCAAGGGGTTTTGTCAAGTAAGTACTGGGAAATGTAAATATTTTTAATGAATATGATTAAAACCATTTCAAACTTCATAGTTTTATACTTTACATTTTTTATATCTGCAGTCCTGAAAGTTGTAAATTGATATGTCAGTTGATTTAATGGACCAGGGTTTCTGCTGAGAGTGGTTTTTATTCAGGTCCTGAATATGTAAAGCAATTTATGGTCAAAACCATAGGAAAAAATAAATTTAATTTCTTCATTGGTTGTGACCTGATAGGATCCATGCTCGTTTCTTCCATACTACCTCTGGAGTTACTCATTGCTGATGATATAAAGAAAATAATTTTGATTTGATGTGTAGTATGACTGTGTTCATTCTGCTTTTAGTTGGATGTATCTCCTTGCTATTAAGAACTCAAAACAACTTTAGTGCCGATTTCGGAGAAAGGTTTTTATTTCCATTTTACTGAAGTAAAGCATGAAGCAAATTTGCCTTGTGATACACATGTTATAAATAATATAAGTAAAACAAAGAACTGTATTTGTACAGTTTCTGGAGATGTGGCAAATCCAGAATTTATCAAAAACTGATCACCAGTTTGTTTTTTTGTTTTTGTTTTTTAAGTAAAATAGAAAAATTAAGCCTTCCATATCTTGGTGATTGTAACTGTTTCACAGATTTCAGTTACTTGCACACACATTTTTCCAGTGCTTTTCAGGAACTTAAGTGACATATTTGTTTTTACATTATTAAATTGAAGAGTTTATTTTTGCACAGGTCCTCCACTGGACAATACCACCATTTCTTGGTTTTTCTGATGAAACTAATATTGGTACTTGTAGTTCAGTAAGCTTCTAGAGTCCTGGGGAGTGTGTTTTTTGATGGGGTGGTTTGTTTGTTTTAAACAAAAGGGTAACTTTCATGTGCTGGGATATCTTGTAATTGAGTATAGGTAAAAATAGTTACAAATTGTATTTTTCTGCCTTTCTAAAGAGAGTACCCTTGTTTTTCTCCTGGTAATTCAAGATCATCATTATGATTAATATTAAGATAAAGCTCTAAGTATATTTGAAGATGTGTTACATATCTTCCTTTTGCAGAAGACCAAGGGAAAAATTCAAATATCTGGAGGACACATTTAAAAAATATATACAGAAAATAAATAAATAAATAATATATACGGTACACACACACATTCTATCTTCTAAAAAAATGTTGAATAGGGTATTTGCAACTGTGCCTAGTGGGGTTTTCTTGTTTGTTGTTTATTGCCAGGGTTGTTTTTGGGGGAGGCAGGGGGAGAGTAGTAAGAAGTAGTAACATTTCAGAAATTGCTCCACAGTGTGTACTGCTGTATTTGACTATAATGCAGTATTTCAAACAGATTTTATTGACCTGTATGTACACCTTCGACTGAAAGGTTTTGTTGTCCCTTCACTAACTTGACAAGCTATTACATTTCAAAAGGTTAAGGGTATCTCAAGTAATTCTGATTATTATGTTCTATAACACAAGAGTTGTTTTTCTTTTAACCACAGCATGATAACAGCAAGCATCGTGGAGCATGTTGAGTTCTCTCTCGGTGATGTTTTTCATTTAGTCCTAACAATTGTGTAAAGTACTATTATTTTTCCCATTTTACAGGTCAGGAAAATGAAGTTTAGAGAAGTTAGGTAACTTGCCTTATGTCACACAGCTAAGTTACTGAGCCAGGAAATAAATTCGGGTAGTCACCACACTTTTAACCACTGCCTCCCATCTTTAATGTAAAAGAAGTACCCTTCAAAGGAGTACTTGTTGTATTTCTCAGTCCACTTAATTGACAGCATCTGTGTAGCAGAGTTTTAAATTTCATCTAGAAAACAACCGAAAACAACCTCCTCCACTCTTAACACCATCAGGCAATTAATGTTTGTTTTTTGCTTCCCAGACTGAGTGCATTAGATCCACCTGTGGCTTCTAGCCATCCATCAATCAAACCCAGCCCTATCAGTTTATCCTCCTCTGTCTGCCAGACCTAGCCGGTAAGTGCTAAAGCTCTCAACCAGCACAAAGCTTTGGAAGCTGGGTCTGGGCCAGGACGTGGCTGAGTTTAGCCCTTTCTGGACCTTGGCTTCCCCATCTGTAAGATGAGCAATTTCCTAAAACTCTAGAAAGGAGGCTACCCTGCCAAGCTTGGTGCAGGTGTACATGTGGCCCGTGTGTCATTGATTTCTCAACAAGGAAGTAAATGATGTGGGAGCTAAGGCTGAGCATATGGTTAGTCTAGAGCTGCTTTTTATAAAGTCATTCCTGTCATCGATGACTGTAAAGTATTGACAATTGTATCATGTAATGCAACTTATCCTGTGCAGAACTAATAATTCTAACCAACTTCAGTGACTACAAGTCTCAGAAGGGCACAAGAATTACTTATTTTTTGGAGGAGGCATCAGTGGGGAAAACAAGACATCACAGTGCAGTAGAATATCAGCATTTGTTGAGCTGGGCTTTAATCCCTTCTCTGCCATTTAATTGGCTGGTGATTTTATCATCTTCATATTTCCCAACTTGTATCATAGGACAGATGGGTAGAATTAGATAACCTCTGACATCTCTGCCAGCTCTGTTGCCATAGGAATCAAATCTCCCCCTACCCCTCTTAACCTCCCCAGGTGGCTCCCTTGCTTTCCAGGAAAATCACCTTCCATGCCATTGTCAGTATCCATTGACTTACCAGCACCATTCAAAAGGATCAATACCAAATCAGACCCTATGCGCCTTCCTACCACATCTTTTTCTTTTCATATTTGTCTGAAGGGGGACTATTTCTTATTTCAAACACATGGGCTTAAGCTTTTTAGTTGTGACCTACTGCAAAGCTTGACATTTTAACAGGGAAGAGGAAGGTGACACTGAGCCACATATTTCTTTAGCAGTAATTTATTTGGCACAGGATTTTAAGCATGGGCTGTCTCGAAATGGGGTCTTGTATCAAGATTAAGAGTTATGTGTGTACTTAAAGATGTCTTGTTATTCTCCTGAAACCTCTCTTGTAATGCATATTTGAACAAAACCCCTACTTCCCTGGCTGGCTGACTAGAGTAACATTGCAGGTCAAGAAGATGATAAAGTATCTCTGAACATTGACCCTCCCTCAGAGTGAACATCTGTTATCCTCAGGAAAGCCTAGGATCACTGCAGTTATCTTCCACTGATAGAACAAAAGAAATCTACTCCAATCAAAAAAAAATTATTTCACCTGCCGTATACAAACTGTTGATTTGATTAATAGCACATTCTAGAGCAATGACATTTTCCATTTGCCATTGTTGAAGACCTTTAACCATTAGCGTATAGAAGAACACTGTGTACCTCCTCTGCTCAGTCCCACGGCCACCAGGGGTCATGGGCACACACAGCTCCTGTCTTACTAATAGCTGTCTCTTATGTGCTCTTCTCGCTCATAAGTAGATCTTGGTCAGTGGCCAGGTAAGCCCAAATTAGGAATAGCCAAGATGCAGGATTTCAGCTTTTAACATGAGACGTCTATATTAGTTATCTACTGCTGAGTAATAAGCTATTACAGACAACACATACATTACAGTGTGGGCTAGGAGTCCAGCACAAAGCTGAAATCAAAGTGGCAGCTGCTCTTGTGTTCTCTGGAGGCTCAAATAGGGGAGGATCTACTTCTAAGATCCCTCAGGTTGTAGACAGTTCACTTACTTGCGGCTGTAGAGTTCCTAGGAATTTGCTTCTTTAAAGCTAGCAATGGAAGAGAGTTTGCTGCGTGACGTCTCTTGCTTTAGGGAATACCTAGGCCTTTGTGAAAGGCTCATCTATAATCAGGCCCATGCAGCCTGGTACGCTTTGATTAGCTCAGTCAGCTGATTGAAGACCTTAGTCACATCTGTAAAATCACCTTTGCCATATTCTATACCTTAGAAGCAAGTCACAGGCCTTGACCACACTCGAGGGGTGGGAATTACACAAAGACATAGGTACTAGGGGACAGAAATTATAGGGCCACCATAGTGTGTGTCTGCCACATCTGTGTAATTGAATTAACTCCATCCCACTCAGCCCAGTCTCCCCATCTAAGTATACCTTGGATTAACCTCAATGGAACTACATATTTATATAGGGAAACGATTTAAGGTACTCTATAATGCAAACATTTTGCTATTTTGTAAGTAAGTCTTAAGTCCCACAGGCCTGGATGTTGGGCAGTGGGTCAGGTCCAGGCTGGAGCTAAGCCTGCTGGCCAGCATCAACACAAAAACCTTGCGGAAACTGGAGTGGATGAGACCAGCTAGAGAAAGAGTAGAATGGAAAGAGGAACAGTATGAAGAGCAAAACTCTGAGCATCTGTGAGGCCAGGGGAAAGTGGGGAGAGGAAGAGGCAGAGGAAGAGATTGGTAGCAATCTTGGAGGAAGATCTGGATCCAGGGGTTTCTAATTTCCTTCAGAAGAACCATGCAGAGGTAGAGTGCAGGGGGGAAGGGATGAGTGGTTTGGGTAGGTAAGGAAGTACAGGTGATGAGGATTTAACAGTGAAGAGGTAAACAAATGACGAGGACGTGGATCAGAAAGCCTGAGCCCAAGCACAGGCTCCAGACGCGCAGGCTCGGCGGCCATGACTCATGGGCCCAGCCGCTCTGCAGCATGTGGGATCCTCCCGGACTGGGGCACGAACACGTGTCCCCTGCATCAGCAGGCGGACTCT